TTTTCCCACGGCACACCTTACACTATGTCACGGCACATTAGTGTGCCACGGCACAGTGGTTGAAAAACACTGATCTAGATTAATATTTAATAAGAGGGTTTTTTTTAAAAAAAAAAGTCATGTACCTTGCAATAAACTCAAGAACGTTTATTGGTTTGTATCCTAAAAAAAAGTACGATAACTTTTAATGCTTCAACAAGATATTGTGCCATTTAGAATCATTTTCCATTTGCCTTAAATATTTGGAAATAGTTATTATTTATCAGTGAAGAATATACATTATTTTTTTAGAATTCACCTGCTTGCATTTACATTGTATCGTTCTTTGATACAATAAAATTTAGGGTGGAAACTTGTATAGGATTAAATAAAAAAATCCAAATCCAAGGGTAAATGGTGGTCCTTAAAATGTTTTCAGGCCAAAGATGGCATGTCTACAGTGATTCACGAACAGCAGTGTGAATTTTTGCACTTACATTGTCAGAATGGCCAATATTGATTTTGCAATACCACCTAATGTCAGGTTTTATTGCTTTATACAGATGACTGAGTTACATACAAGGGTTAAAACAGAAAAAAAAAATCACATATAATCCCAGGTACCCAAAGATAAATAGCTCCATGCACAGAAAAATGGCACATTGAGTTTATTTGTTTACCTGATCCAAATGCCTGGGGAAATAGCCAAGTCTTTAAAGCCTTACAAAAGTGTAAATGTAACAGAATTGGGGCCATCCACATCTTCAGGGTGACACTGTTCCACAGAATCTTTATCTGAAGAGCCATTCAGAAATGCTGCATTCATTATACAGAGGCCACCCTTGATAAATTCTGCATGGCTTCTATAAGATATACAAACAGTCTTTTGATTCATAAACATTCCTTGTAAAGTTTTTGCCTGTGCAACTAATACCATGCTTCCAAAAGTGCTTTGAAATAATGTAAATAATTATATTCAATTAAATCATTATTTTTTACCACTCCCATACAGTAGAAAGATATTTACACTATTTTACCTTTGTTACCATTTCTAACATTTATTTCTGGCATAGCTCTTGTACACTTAGCTACTTAGCTACATTTAGATCAGCAATTGTTATTATTTATTTATTTTTATCATGAGTTATTTTTATAAATAGCTCAAGGAACAAAGATACCTAATCCTCTTTTTATTTTCCCTACAACCTTCTGAAGTGGGTTGAGCTCAGAAAATGACTGCCCAAGATTACCTATCCACCTTTCGTGGTTAAGGCAGGTCTAGAACTCACAGTCTCCTGGTTTTTGGCCTGGTGCCTTAAGCTAGTGGACAAACTGGCTCTCACATTCATGATTATTTTCAGGTTCCTTGAAAAAATATATGCTTTTTAAAAAAAAAAAAAATTAATTTTTTTATTATTATTTTCCTTCTTGGAAAAAAAGCCAGTTCTTGAACTCTAAATATAAAATTTCTAAAGAAATATGAATTTACAAATTAATAACATAAATATTGTGATGGGACCTGCACCTACTCAGCAGAAATAATGTACTGCTATCTTATTCTATTCATGTCTCATATATTGTAACCAATCTTTTCTTTATGGTATCTAAAACCTTATGGTTAATTCTTGATTGTTACCACTGAGAACTGATTGATTCCACTGGTTTATAAACAAATGCAAGAATTTTTAAGTAAATAGATGCTTTGTTATTAGACGTAGGT